TCCCTTGTGGCCACACTTAATGACTTTCTTTCCAGAAAACCATTTCCCTCTGCCAGGGGACCAGAAGATGGGGGACAGCCCCAGGGATAAGTGAGGCAGTGCTGAGCAGGCGAATCCTCTCCTGAAGGGGGTCAAGGGTCAGCAGGGACTGGAGGCAGCAGGGACCACAAACTGGGGTTCTTAAGGCGGTGGGATTCCACTGGAGGCTCTGGCTAGGGGCAAAGGGTAGACTTGGTCATTGTGACCAAAGGAATGTCAAATAGGAAAATCCCAATGAGCACTATTTTTAGAGGAGACTTGGAGAGCATTTTTCTGGCTGAAGGGACAAGCTCTTTCAGAAGCAGCAGTTAACTCAAACCCCTGAACCACTGCTGTCTGGAACTCACCCAGGCTTCACCCTCCAGGCATGTGGGAACAGTGCTGGAGGGGTCTGGGCAAGGTCCTGCCACGGGGGAGAGGGACAGGGACATGGACTCCTTTCAAAAGCAAAAATGGTTTATTTGTTTTATTTTTTTTTTTTTTACATTTTAGAGTCTAATCCTTCAGAAGTAATGACTTTATACTGCTAACTTTCTTTAAAAGGCTTTTTAGAAGTAGAATCATTTCACACCAAGTTGTTGGTCTTGAAACATTAAATATAACATTTTCTTTTTGTGTTTGGTTCATGCTTGATTTTAGTATTGATAATTGCTAATGATACACTTAACTAATCTTCCCACTAGATATACTTTATGCTTGAAATCTACTTACCACCCCTATCTATATGTTTCTTTTTGAGGTAGAAGTCTCTTAGGGCTTCTGCTACTTTCTGGATTTATTAAAAGTAGTAGATTAGATTTATTGCTTAATTGAAGTTAGAGGAAAAGCCACCCTCACTCCCTGGCATTCGCAGGGATGCACTGGGAAGAGGCCTCAGTAAGAAACAAAATGAAGTGTGAACCCCTCTCTCCTCCTTGTGATCAGGCTCTGCCTCCAGACACGGATCACACAGGGACCACAGTTTGGGAAGGTGTTTTTCTCCTAGCCCTCTATGCAATTTAGAATCTACACTCCTTGTAGGAACAGTGCCTTTGAGGTTAGGGCCCTCGGTGAGTCCTGATGCTCAATGAAGTCAGTGGTGTGTGGGAGGGGTACAGTGAGGGATCCCCAGACTTGGAAGTGGTTTCCCTTGGAGGGAGCCACGCCCGGGGCTAAACGAGAGGCCGAGGGGCTTGGGAAGAGGCCAGATCTGATCCAGGTGAGCCAAAGAATCCTGGGGAACAGCCCATACCTAAGGATGCTAAACTTAAGCATGGGCCAAAGAACAGACAGGTAGTGAGTGAGCTGCTGGGAATATAAAAAAGGTTGATGATAAAGAACTTGTCAGTGCCCAAGCGCTGCCTGGGGCGAGAAAGAGTGTGTTGTAAGAGACCTTGGATAGCAGCCCAAGCGTCCTGAAGCCCAGGCATGTCTGCATGTGTGAGGTGCCCCTCTCCATGTCATCTGGCTGCCCTGAGCAGCTCTTCCAGGGTAAGTTCAGGATCTGAGATAATTCTGGCAGTGTCTGTGCTCTGGCAGCAATTAAGAAAGTAGCATCTGGCGTCTTCATCAGTTCCCTCTGAGTCCGGTTGCCCTGAGTCAGCCCTGGACGTGTGGACTGGACCTTGGAACCCGGAACCTGTCCAAGAGCTGCCTGCTTCTCTGTCATTTATTGCCTTCATTTTGTCTTCAGCACTCACAGACACCTGGAGGCACAGCTGTAGCTAGAGATTCGGGATGCATTACAGTTTAACACGGAGGAAGGCAACGTAATACCGGGTTCTGTCTACTATTTAAGGATCCATGTGGGATTCCCAACAACACCCGTTGGACGTCTGTGAACTTCTGTTGAAAACAAGAAAAGTTTGAGTCTCTCTCTGGAACTAAAAATAAACTTAGGCTGGTGTCCAGGAACAGGAAACAGCTTAATAAGTCCTGGACGGGAGCCTCCACTCTTGCTTCTGCTCAGTCCATCCCTGCACGGAAGCCAGAGAGAGCATCCTACAAGGCAGGCCTCACTGGGCCACGCTTGTGCCTAACACTCTTCTGTTTGGGGCCCACCCTCTTCTACCCTTTTCTGTGGCCCAGGAAGCCCCACAGGGACTGGCCCGAGGCCACCTTTAAGCTTCAGGTCCCCTCTGCCAGTCCTCCTCCCCTTGAAGTCTGCACTTGAGTGTCTTCAATGTGCCTTGCTTTTTGCTCATCTCTGGGCCTTTGCACATGTTCCCTCTGCCTGAAATACTCCTCCACCAACCCTCACCATCCTTTTGTCTGGCCAACTGGTATTTGTGTTTTAGAGCTCAGCTGAAATTCTGACCCACAGACTCAAAACTTAAATCCTTTTGCTGGAAATTCCAGACCATCATGGACACCCTCCCTCTGCCCAACAATCAAGACACACTGTTGTATTTATTGGTTTCCATACTTGCTCTCCATGTCCTGCCTTGTTTACTACGGATTCCTCAGTTTTCTTTCTTTTTTTTTTTGAGACAGAGTCTCACTTTGTTGCCCAGGCTAGAGTGAGTGCCGTGGCGTCAGCCTAGCTCGCAGCAACCTCAAACTCCTGGGCTCAAGCGATCCTCCTGCCTCAGCCTCCTGAGTAGCTGGGACTACAGGCATGCGCCACCATGCCCGGCTAATTTTTTATATATATATTAGTTGGCCAATTAATTTCTTTCTATTTATAGTAGAGACGGGGTCTCGCTCTTGCTCAGGCTGGTTTTGAACTCCTGACCTTGAGCAATCCGCCCGCCTCGGCCTCCCAAGAGCTAGGATTACAGGCGTGAGCCACAGCGCCCGGCCTGATTTTCCAGTTTTAAACATCTGTTGATTTCCCATGATGAAGGATGAGTGTTTAGCTCTCTCGTGCACCCTCCCATTCTCCCTGTCACACATTTGTACTTCCTGTCCCCTTTTGCATTTGTCCCAGTGGTTTAATGCCCTGGAAAAAAAAATAAATCCCAGCACTTTGGGAGGCCGAGGCAGGAGGATCACTTGAGCCCAGGAATTCGAGGCTGCAGTGAGCTATGATCGTGCCACTGCACTCCAGTCTGGGTGATAGAGCTAGACTCTGTCTCAAAAACAAAAACAAAAAATCCCTTTAACTGTCGTTTCATTGGTTCACTGGGATTTTGGGAGAGAGCAGAGGCCAGAGCCTCCATCCAACCATTCATTTTTAACTGGTCATCTATCCCCAGTTCTTAGCATATTACTTAACACATAGTAAGGGTCCAGTAAATATTTGTTGGTTGGGTAGAGTCATTCCTCCATCTCTGCAAGTTCTGCATCCGCGGTGCTAATCAAAAATATTCCGGAAAAACCTCCAGTAAAAATAATACAAGTAAGAAACAATACAGTATAACTATTTACATTGCACTTACATTGTATTCATCGTTATAAGTAATTCATAGTGATTTAAAGCAGCAGTCCCCAACTTTTTTTGGCACTAGGGACTGGTTTCACGGAAGACAATTTTTCCACGGGGCGGGGTGGGGGACAAGGGGTTTGGCGGAGCTCAGGCGGTGATGCGAGCGATGGGGAGCAGCTGTAAACAGATGAAGCTTCCCTGGCTAGCTTGCTGCTCACTTCCTGCTGTGCGGGAGGCCCCCCTGTCCCGCCTGCCCCCAAGTTTCATGAAAGACATTTTTTCCACTGATGGGGGGATGGCAGAGCTCTGTGGCCAGGTCTCCAACAGGCCACGGACTGATACCGGTTGGGGACCGCAGATTTAAAGTATACCGCAGGATGTGCATAGGTTAAATGCGAACACCAAGCCATTTCATATAAGGGCATACTTGGGCATCCTTGGATTTTGGTATCCACGGGGGTCCTGGAATCAGTCCTTGAGGATACCAAGGGATGACTGTATTAATCAGAGTCACTCTCCTCATCTTTGAAAAAAGTTGGAACCTGGGCTCTGCCCACCAATTAATGGTGTGACCCTCGATAAGCCACTTCCACTCTGGAGCCATAGTCCCCTCCACTGTAAAATAGGAATAATGCCTTCTTCAGGTGCCTCGCTCAGGGCCTCGGTATTTGTGGTGTGGAAGGGTTCAACATCAAAGTGACAATTCTTAGAAAGTCAGTGTTTCCGTTAGCTTAAATTAGCCTTCACACTTGAGTTGCAAATTGGTCCCTAATTAATGCTCTTCAGGGCGAGATCTGTGTTTAACCTGACTTGATGCCTAGACGGAGCAAAACCTTTTGCGCTCAGAGATCCCCAGGCCTACGGTGTGCCAGCGCCCCTCCTGGGCGGCGGGTCCGGAACGTACCGGGGGCTGCGCCGCCGCGGCCGCGTCCGTGCCAACCCCGACTCCTCGCCCCGCCCCGCTCGCCCCTGGCCTGGGGACCGGTTTCTTGCGGGAGCCCTGACACCCAGCCGCCTCGCGTCAGGTCCACGCCGTTCTCGGCACCGGGCGGCGCAGCCCTGCCAGGTCCTCACCGGGAAGGCCCGCAGCCTACCTGTGGAGGACCCCACTTTCTCCAACGGAGAAACTGAGACGGCGCCCTGGGAAAGCAGCTCCACGCCCCCGGGTCCAGCTCGACCCCTTCCCTCAGCCCCAGTCCTCCCGGCCTCGGCCCCCCGCTTTCCAGGACCCCGCCCCACGCGTGCTAGGGAGGGCGCCCGCCCGCAGCCCGGGCCCGGAGCCGCGCAGGTGAGGGCGGGGCCGGGGCGGGCGCAGGAAGGCGACCGCCCTTCCCCTCCCCCCGCCCCTTCCCGCCCCCGGCCGCGGCGCGCCAGCCTCCACCTCTGCCCGCCGCGGAGCGCCGCCGAGCGGCCGGCTGGCGGCCCTCGCTCCGCCCTCCCGGCCCGGCGCGCCGCTCCCGCCTCCTTCGCTGTGCGCCCGCTCCCGCCCCCTTCCTTTCCGCTGGCGAGGCGGCGGGAGCCGAGCCGAGCGGACCGAGCGCGCGCAGCCGGCGGCTGGCGGCCAGAGGCGGCGGGCGGCGCGGGCGTCGGGCGGCGCGATGCGGCGGCCGCGCTGCCGCCCGCTCCTGGCGCCGGGAGCCGGCCGCGCGGGGCGCGCGGGCCGGCGGCGGCGCATCGCGCAGCGGCGAGGAAGGCGTGACGCTTTCGCGAGGGGAGCCGAGCAACCTCCATGATCTCGGGCGCCAGCAGCCCGTACCAGCCCACCACCGAGCCGGTGAGCCAGCGCCGCGGGCTGGCCGGCCTGCGCTGCGACCCCGACTACCTGCGCGGCGCGCTCGGCCGCCTCAAGGTCGCCCAAGTGGTAGGTGCCGGGCGGGGCCCCAGGTGCCGGGCGGGCGGCCTAGCCTTCCCTCCCTGTCCCCGCCGCGGGGCGCAGGCCTGGCCGGCCTCCGCCGCGGACCCGCTTCCCGGGGCTAGACCCCGCTCCTCGCACCCCTTCTCCCTCGCGGGGTTCCCGGGCCGCCTTCCAGCCTCCTCTCGGGACCCCACCCTCGCCTAGACCCTGTCCTCGCCAGCCCGGCAGCCTCAGGTGTGCACCTTCTACCTGAACACCTGCCCTGGGGCCTACCTATCCACTCCCGCCTGCGCTCTAGGGCGTCCGTTTGGTTACTGGGCTTGGTGGTGCGCAGAGCCTGGCACTGGGGGTCATGCTGTCGCCAGGTTACTCCTGGTCTTAGGAACTTGTGGCAGGTTTTCGGGCTGCCTGTTTCTGCTCCAGAAACTGGGGACTGGCTTGATTCCTCCCTGGCACCTGGCAGGGTGCTGGGCATACGGTAGACGCTTGGTAAATATTTGTTGAATGGAGGCATGTAGCCCAGATGGATTTGGGGGGCCCAGATCTGCCCACAGAGGCTCCAGTTTACACTGCAGAGGTTTGAGCCCTCCTAATTAACCTAGAAGACAGAATTGGCATCCTGGAAGCCACTGCCCCAGCACGGTGGCTGGCACTGCCCAATTGGTACCCAGAGTTAAATCACTCTGGGAGGGCAGCCAGTTTTAGATGTAACAGAAACAGAGAACTTTCTGTTAGGCTTGTTCATAGTAGAGTTCATTTCTCAGGGTCCTTAGTTTTAGCTTTCAGGGTGTTCAGGGCAGGGGCCTGTCAGCTCTATTCTTGTTCTGTGGTTTTGCAACAGGCCTTTCTGGGCAGTTGCTTAGCTCTGTTGTGGACAGGGCATGCTCCACTTCAGAAAAATCTGTTTTTCCCAGGAATTCCCTGTCACAGGTAGGCAGGCCTGCCTCTGAGGCCCAGCCTCAAAACTTTAAGATTTCTCACCCAGAGAAGCCATTTGCACGGAGCTGCACTGTATGTGCATTTTGTTTCTTGAAGCATTGGTCCCTCTGTTCTTACTTGAGTGCATAAACAAACATTCCTTGGGAATAATATGTGTGGACACCCTTTAAATAAAGGTCCTGGTGTTTGTGAATTGCAGAATCACTGGCTGTTTTATCTTTCTCCTGAGTGAAAGGCTTGTTCTGCTTATTGCCAGAGGGTATTTTTTGAAGGGCTTTAAGGAAAGACAAATGGATCAGGTTACCTGTCTTTAGAATTTCAAACTGACTTTATCCAGTAAACTGGAATGTTCTCGAAGATGTATTGGTTCTGTAGTTAGGCATTGCTGTTAGCTGAGAGAATGTAGGTGGTGGTGGGGGGGACACGTGTGTGATTGCCTCTTAAAGGAGGCAGCTAGCCAGTGTTTGAGTATAGTATAGATAATCAGAAATGACTAAGAAAAGAGCATAGCCTGGTCAAGTACTTTGCCTTGTTTACACTGTGGGCTTTTGAAGTAAATAGAACTTGCCACTGTAAGAATCTAGTAAAAGAATTGCAATCCAGTAGCTTGTACAAAGCATTAGTTATTACCTTATTGCTTGGACTTTGTCACCTAAGGCCAGGGATGGAAGCCAGTGGTATTTATTATTACCTTTTGGTAAGGTACTGTTTTGTCATAGAGCTTTACTTTTAATCTGGAAGAACTTTTGGGCCCAGCCCGTAAAATCTCACTTAACTCTATTTGTTTAATCTCTAGACTTTAAACAATGAGAAATTACGCGTGGGCAAGTGAAGGAAAGGGACCTGTTTGAAGGGTATGGCAACTTGAAAGAGTCTTCTATGTACTTGGCTTTTTAGCCTGGATAAAAATCCAGGTTTTTAGGGGGAACCGCCCCCCCCCTCAAAATTCCAAGAAATTGGACTGTACATTTAAACTTGGAGAAAACAATAAGTCATTATGAAGATAGTTCTAAGATGTGACAAAACTCAGAATCCCATCAAGAAATATGAGTACGTTCTAATTATGTGGTTTTGCAGAAAAATTAGACTTTAAAAACTTCAGTTTTTATAGACTTTTTGTGGTATGTGGCCTATTGCAATGTGTAGATCTCTGCTACTCCAGGTTTGGTCCCTAAGCCAGAAGCATTGGCATCACCTGAGAGCTTGTTAGAAATGCAGAATCAGTGCCCTTACCCCAGACCTTCTGAATCATCTGCATTTGAACAAGGTCCCCCAGGTGATCCACGTGCGCATTAAAGTTTGAGACTTTAAATCATTTTAGGGTTAGTACAAAACCTTGCACAGGTGCTAGCAGTCAGCTCTCAATAGTAACAAGGCTGAGATTTTTCTATAAAATGAGCCTATATCTCCCTCAGAGGAATACGAGAATGAGGTAATATGTAAAAATTAGCACCTAGTTTATTAGGCCTTTAATTGACGTGTTTTAAACGTTAGCTGTCATTGTTGCTAATTAATATTTCCCGTCTCTAAAGAAACTTTGTGCAAATATCACCAAAAAGTCATAATACCATATTTGAAAGATTGTTCACTTGCTTATGATTTAAGTTGAATTGATATTTTAAATGGAATGTCATTTGACAGTAAAATTAATCTGGGATATTATGAAAATTAGTACAGTTGTATAGATGATACCTTTTCAAAATGGAAACCTGTACCTGTCTCTTAGTTGGAGGGAATGTCTACCGTGGTTACATCAAATAATGTGCACTTTTTGTGGAAAACAAAAAGAGTTGGTTTAAATAGCTGATTTTAAATTACCTTCTTCCTCAGGAGTGTGAATTCTGTGGGAGCTTATTGGTTTTTAGCTCTCAGATACCATTTCATGAAATAGTTAATGTAGACCTTTTGCTTTTGCTTATTATTTTTGGTTTTTTAAGAGACAGGGTCTCACTCTGTCACTCTAAGTTGGAGTGCAGTGCCCTGACCATAGCTCACTGTAGCCTCAAACTCCTGATCCTCCTGCCTCAGCCTCCCAAAGTGCTGAGATTACAGGCCTGAGCCACCATGTGCAGGCTGTTATTTTTTTTAGTCAACGTGGTTGAAAACAGAGTTTTGCCCTTGGGATGGGAGTGGTGGTGGGCATCTATTATATATACCAGGATGTGGCAACAGCCCCTGGATTGGACACGACTTTTTTTTTTTTCTTAACAGTCCTAAACTAGAGACAGACAAGACTTTTTGAATAATAACAGGCATCATTTAGTGAGTGCTTACTCTAACTCTACTGTTGCCATCCCCATTTTATGGATGAGGAAATTGAGGCACAGAGGTTGTGAGTTGTGGTGGAGCTGGGATTTGAACCCAGGCAGTCTGGTTTCAGAGTTGCTTTTTACTGTCTCTTCAACACACCAATTTGAGTTGTTCCCTTTAGTGAGGGAGACCTCAAGACCAAGGACATTTCTGTGATCTTTGGGCAGCTTGGTGTCCTTAAGGGTGAGTTTTTCCAATGCGAAAGCAATGGATTTAAAGGTTTTGATTTCTCTTGGGTTGTGTGGTGTTCCTAGGTGTGCAGCTCCACACTTTTGTGATTGGGGATGGGTCCTTTCAAGGGTATTTCAGTTCCAAAAAGACCTCTCAGGGAGCTCCTGTCACTTCAGATCTCTTCCTTGAGACCTTCCCATGCCCAGTTGACTTTTTGACAGTGCACTTGTTTAGGACTTTTTATAACAAAAGCTGGGTCATAGGATATATTTAAATTAAAATTTTAGCTCTGCTGATCTTCACATCTCAATTTCATCACATCCTGCTTCCTCAGTAGTATCATGGAATATGGGTGGTAATGACTAATTGAGCATTTTCGGAATTGTAAGAAGGGATGTTTGATGGTTGCTTTCCTAAGTAACTTGGAGACAAATTTGAATGTTTGCATTTCAGGATCAAGGAATGGCATATCTTTTATTTGATGGGAACCTAGTCAGTTTTTCATCTCAAGCCAGTCAACACAGTCCCTGGCCGGTTTCTGCTCTCTGGAGGATGCGCTGGGTGTGGGGCAGTACAAACCTGTATTTTTACTAAAATCTAGTGGAAAAATAAGTTATAGAAACTATACATAGCATGAAATAGCCACTTTTACAAAGTTGCAACCTTGGTAAACAGCAGTGAGTTTATCAGTCCCAAATCCCCTCAGCTGTGTTGGAAGAACTGGTTCAACTGATGTTCAGTAGAGTTGGATTTGGTTTCCTGGTTCTTAAGAGCTGGTCAGATGACTAGGCAAACACAAAATGACTCATGTCAAACCATGAAGGGTCAGTGTTTTGTTTACTACTGAAGATTCCTTTGTCCTCCTGGCTCCCACCTATCCCTGCAGATTGCATATGCTGGTGGGCGTTGTGGGTTTCATTACTTTGGCTTCTCAGATCCACCAAGATGTGGCTCCTTGTAAAACAGTCCCATTATCCTTGAGGAAGATTGTAGTCTGTAGGAGTTGTCTTCCTGATCAAGGACTTGGAATCAAATCCTAGCAGAGAAGCAAAGTTATAGCTACTCTTAAGTTTTTATGATGATTAAAAATAGTAAAATTATCATCCATGACTTCAGAAGAGGATGTTAAGTGTAGAGTACACATCTGTTTTTACAAAACCAGGCAAAGCAGTTCAAGAAAAGAATACTACAGACCAGTATTCCTCATGAACACACACATAAAAATCCTCAGCAAAAAGCTGTAATTAGGAAATAGAAGCTAGCAAGGTGTAAAAAAAACCACACCAAGCCAATTGTGATTTATCCCAGGAATGAAAGGCTGGTGCAGTTTTAGAAAATAGACGTACACCATATTAACAATTTCAAAGAAAAACGTGATTATATCAGTTGATGCAGAAAAAAATCATTTGATAGAATTCAACACTCTTGACAGGTGTCCTCAAACTACGGGCCACATGCAGGTGTTTTTGCCCATTTGTTTTTTTACTTCAAAATAAGATATGTGCATAGGAATAAGATATGTGCATAGGAATAAGATGTGTGGATAGGAATTTGTCCATGTTTTTTTTTTTTTAATTATAGTTCGG